GTCCATTTCTGAATCACCTGCTACTCAGCCTGCTGTGTTCAGACATCCCTGCACCTTGAATTCTCGCATTAACCATTGCATGTTTTTTTTTGGTAAACCTGCCAATATTTCTGCACAGTTGGGCAAAATAAAGGCTGAGAGACATTTGTTAAATTCTACCTAATAGTATTTAGAATTAGTGTATATTTGATCTCTTAATGTTGAATGTTGAGTAGCAGGTGATTCAGAAATGGACATTATGGGTTATGTTATTCCATATTGTGTCAACCACATTGTTGAGATTCTGGAGTCACATGGAGGCCAGACCAATCAAGGGTGTCAGACTTCCTTCCCGAAAGGATATCAGTGAACTAGATGAGTTTTTATAGCTGTGGTCACATGGTTGCCATGAGACTAGCTTTTTATTCCAGGTTTTTATTGAATTCACATTTCAGCACCCACTGTAGTGAGATTGAAGCCCATGTTCTTAGAACAGTCGACTGAGGTCCTGGATTACTGTTACCCCTACACACCATTTCTTGAGGGGCATTAAAAAAGTTTGAAGAAATCATGTTTCTGTTGGGGAGAATGTATGCACAAAGTCCCATGATTTTCCATTGATTAATTTTGCAGACAGGAAGCATGGGTCCGAATGTCTGACGTGTATTTTGTGGTCAAAGTGCACAGTTTTGTAAAAGAGCTCCTGTTGTCTCATCTATGCTAATAATATAAGAAGTTAGGATATTTCAGATTGTAATCATGCTTTCCTTTTATTTTCTACTGTAAAAGATTGTCCCAGTAGTTGTTTGGTCTGATTCAGTAAGGTAAAAAAAAATTATGACTCAGTGACTTCCACAGTTAAAAATGAATCATGTCTTGCGTCGCTCTCTTTTGGTAGGCACTCGGAGGGTTGGACTAGTTGCAGTGAAGTTGGGGATGATGCCTCTGTGGACCAAAGCGGGTGAGAAACATGCAGTCACATTACTACAGGTAAAAGTATGGCATGAAAATAAAAGGTGCTATTAATTGTGAAATCAGTTTTGTTTTTGTGATTTTAGAAGAGCATAAATTCTGTAATACAATGGAATACTTAAAGCAAAGGTGTAGAGAGTGTAATAGTGTGAAATGTACAGACTTTCTGTCTTTCTAATCATGAAAAGAAAAAGAACAGGTTCATCCAAGAGAGATAGTGGCTGGGAACTGTCATGCCACCATTCAAGGATGTAGCAGAAAGACCTTAGCCCAACAAATCCATTCCTCATCATCTCCCTATGCATTTGGAGGAGGTTAACACCTTGCCTTTTACCTATTCTCACTGTTTCCAAACCTTGCAGTAGATTACTAAATTTCTGTATTCACTTCGCAAGTGGTCTCCTCTATATGGGGAGATCAAATGCAGATTGGTTGGCTGCTTTGTAGAGCAAGTCTCCAAGCATGACTGACCTCCTGGTCTCTTACTATTTCAATGCAGCATCTTTCTCTTATGCTCCCATTTCTGCTGTCAATGCTTTCCAGTATTCCAGTGAAGTCCTATGCAAGCTGGAGAAACAGTACGTCATTTTCCAGTTAGGCACTTTATAGCCTTCTGGATTCAACATTGAGTTGAACAACTTTAGACTCTGAATTCTGACCACCATTTTCAATTCCTCTTTCTCCAAGTGCTAGTTCATATCTGCTCATGTTTTTACTTTCAAACAGAGCTGAGCTTTGTTCTGCTATTAACACCTATCCTAGATTACTGCTTTGTCTCTCAAATACAGCCATTACCATTCCTTTGCCTTTTATCTTTGGCATTTAATCTATCTAAATGTTGTGCCTATCCCTGCCCTTCCTTTAGTTCCACTTAGTTCCCCCCGCCAAAAAAAAAACAGCATGAAACCCATCACATTTCTACTTCCCTTCAGATCCAAAGAAGCGTCATACTGGACTCAAAATCTTACCGCTGTTTCTTTCTCTACAGATGATGTTGGACCTGCTGAGTTTCTCCAGCACTGTCTTTTCATTTCACAAATGTATGACCTAGTGAAGTTGAGATCTTTTTTAATAGTTTGTACAGACATTTCCTGTTGCTTAGTCATATCTCACCCCCAGTGGTTTATTGTGAAGTCTGTTTTGGGGGGGGTGGGGGGAGCATAAATATGACCTGATGTCATTTTGATAAAACAGCATTGTGAAAAATCTTCAACAGTTTACACATTTTGTCCTTGAAACTTAGATTGAAATGGATGGGGAAATAATATTTTGTGCTCTGATGTCCTGGTGTAGCTTTGTGTGGTTTACAGTTTCCTCGGCAACGCAGGAATAGTTTGCAATGGTAAATTAAATATATCTCACAGCGTAATACACGATATTAATTCATATTAGCTTCCACGTGTGTTTCTCAGACATAAGTTGGTGTTAACAAATAAACTATTCAATAGAAGGTAAATAGATTAAACTTTTCAATAGAAAAGACATCTTAATGTATTTTGCTTCCAGGTTCAAGATTGTCATGTTGTGTCATATACGCCGAAAGAAAAATATGATGGCAAGAAGCCTGCGTTGGTAGTTGGCGGAAAAAATACGTCTCCGTTTAATGTAAGAAAATGTTTTATTGTCTGTCTTGCTTTATTAATGATTAAATATTTATGCAAATGGGCTAAGATAAACTGTGAAGGACTGTGAATTAGGCTGCTCTATTTCTCCGACTATTTCAGTCTCTCCGTTTTCTCCTGTTGTAAAAGCGAAGTTCTGGTGAAACTCAGGCCTAGTAGCATCTGTGAAGATAGAGGTACAGACAGTTAATTTTTGATTCTAGACTTGCATTGTTTTCATTTCAGATTGCCAGCATTCATAGTACTTAGCTTTTATTTATCTGGATTTTCTCCTCAGTGAAATACCTTCAGTTTATTTTCCAACTACAGCAGGTATCCCAAGAAAAGGCAGCTAGCCTGACCCTTGGTAAAGCGAGACATTGTATCTTTGCGATATAGTTTTGAGGATGATTTTCTCGAGCAATGCCATGCGGTACCACACTTTTGGATGGATGTCAAAGTCTTGGAGAGGGTGCCAATGCAAATTTTGACCGCTGTACCAGAGATGAGGGACTCAAGTTATCTGGAGAGGTTGAGATGGTTCTCCATGGAGCAAAAAGGAGACTAGGTAGAGGTGTTCAATTTCCTGAGGGGATTAGGCAGAGTAATCAAGGAGCGATGGCTTTCAATGACGGAAAGGTCAGTAAACAGAGGTACTGGTTGGCAAAAGAACTAGAGATGGCATGAGGAAATAACCTTTCTCCAGGGCCAGTTTTTCTCTAACCTGGAATGTTGTAACCTTTCGAAAGAGAATTCGATAAATAGAGTCATACAGCACGAAACGGACCCCTTGGCCCAACTTGTCCATTATCCTAAACTGAACTAGTTCCATTTACCTGCATTTGGGCCATATCCCTCTAAGCCGTCCCGATCCATATACCTGCCCAAATGTCTTTTAAACGTTGTAATTCTACGCTCCTCTGCAACTTGTTCTAGCAGCTTGTTCCACATACACACCACCCTCTGTGTGAAAACATTGCCCCTCTGGTCCCTTTTAAATCTATCCCCCCTCACCTTAAACCCATGCCCTCTAATTTTGGACTCCCTACGCTGGACGAAAGACCTTTCCTATTCACCTTATCTATACCACTCACGATTTTATAAACCTCTGTACGGTTACCCCTCAGCGTCCTACACTCCATGCTTGAAAGAAAATCATATGCATGATTATGTCAGAAGACCATGAAGCAGTACTGACTGGATACTCAACCAGAGCGCTGTTGCAAGCTGAAAGGCCTACTGATGTGCTGTAACATTATATGATTCTAATGCAGTTCCTGTGCTGAACTTGTCAAAAAGTTTTCATGCTTGGTGGCTCCTTTCTGAGCAATAATTTATGGTCCACTGTGACATGTTTTTGTGAATAAGGTAGGTGCAGAGATACAAATAGTGCAATAAGCAACAGAAACCCATGTTCTTCATCAATGATAAATGATCCATGGGTCAATGTGATATGTACAAAAACTACAAGCGTTGAAAATGTGACCTTGTTGAATTTACCCACCACTTGACGTAGATACTCCCAATTTCATGCAACTGCTCTGATCCTGAAAATCCAGCAATTATGATGAAAAATTATTAAGAATTATTGCAAAGGTAAGCTGATTAGAAATGACATCCACAGAATGAGCCAGCCTTGTCACCAGGGTCTAAGGGCGGAGGTGATCACAACACATCCAAAAGAAAAGGGAAAGCACCCTGTGGGAAAGGGTAGAGAGGCCTGAAATGTTGGGTCTTGAAAGAGAGTTGTTTCATAGGATTAAAGTTTTTTTTTAATTCAACCACAGCGAAGTTTGAGAAAATGACATTCTGTGCTCCAAATCTATGTTTAACCTTTTTGTGTGTGTTTGGAAGCTGCTTTTTTGAAGTATTACCTTTTAAAAATAAATTTTAAAAAGTGAAAACTTGCATATAACTAGTTGTAAAATAAGTCAAAGGCACTTAAAGGGGAGGGGTTGATAGTGAGAAATGTAAGTGAAACCCAAAAAGGAATGGACAGTGAGTTCTTATGCTGGAGGATGGCAGAAGGAAGGAATGGTTTTATAAAAAATTGTGCAGTCGAAGGGCTGTAGCGGATGCACGTTTGCTGAGAGGGCGTGACAAGGCTGTTAGATTTGAAGTCATGGATAAAATTGAGTGTAGGTCAGTCAGGGCAATAGCAATGAGTGAATTTGTATTGGACAGTGCATTTGGATTTTATAGAAGGTGATGAGGCAGGGCTGAAGAAAATTGAAGACTCGAAGCAATAACATTTTAAGTGAAGGTTTCAGGAGCAGCAAGGGTGTTTCAGGCTGTGGCAGATGCTGTTGTAGTGATAAGTGTTTTTGATTAGTTTTTGATTTTTGAAGCTTGGCTTTGGGTCCAAAATGATAAAATAATTTCATGTCAGAAATGGGAAATTGCTGATCACACTCAGTGGGTCTGGCAGCTTTTGTGGAGATTATAACTGCAGATTAATGACTTCCTTTCAGTGCCTGGTCAAGTTTGAGCAAATATCTGATGCAGGGAATTAATTTAGTGACATGGGAATGTGGCTCGTGATGACGGTATGTTGATTAATCGAAGGGTATTGGTTACGTTAATGTTTGGCTGTGACTTCCCCCTTTCCATTTGGAGCCAGGCAGGCTTGACAATACAGAGATAATCACAGAGTCAAGAAAAGTTGTATAGAGTGAACTGGGTGGGAACAGAATACATATAGCTTGTAATGTTACTGAGCAGATCAATAAAGAGGAGTTCAATGTTAGATTCTTGAGATGATTAAAGGAAGTTATTGTTGTGGATGCAGCAACTGCATTTAGATATTTACAGAGAACTCGGGAAGGTTTCACCCTAGTATATATGTTTGGGCTATGGGTAAATGCTAACAATCTGTGAGGGACTGCAGACACCTCTCCATTTGAGAGAGAGAATTAGTTACCCAGCTTAAGGGGCACCACTCCGTCTTAACCTTGATCAAAGCGAGGAGACAGGGTCTCCATGAAATATCACAGCCAAGATAGAGATTGAATCTGCTGTTGGAATCATTCTGCAGTATATTCCAGCCATCTAGCCAGCTGAGTTGACCCACACACTCATCGCACAAGATCATATCCCCGGGTTAAATGTTACGTTCACTACCAGCCGAGCTAGTTGGGCTGCTTAGAAATTGGACCTGCTAACTAGTTATTGACTGAAGTCTGTGTTTGGAACCATGTTTTCATGTTTGCTATAAATAGACACGATAGCTGCGAACCAGAAGATAAATGGTTTATCCCAGAAAAGGCAACTTGAGTTGCAATCAATTGACATCATGCATCATGTTTTGATACCACTCTGTGATGTGCCTTTTTCTTTTAATCTGAGACTGTAGTGGATATTTTCCCTGATCTGTACCTGGGTACAAGGTATAATTGAAAGTTGGACAGGCCAGAGTATATGCCAATAAAATAACTTTTTTAGCCTTTGCTTTCCTAATTTAAATTAATTTACCAATGAGAAGATCCTTTTAGAGATTCTCTGAGTGTTGTACCTGGGTGAGCCAATTCACCAAGTTGCAGAAATCTATTGTGTATTTTTGCAATTAAGTATTTCCCAATTTACCTGCTTCTCTTTTTTGCTTTGGGAAGGTAAAATTGATGTCAGTAACTTGTGATACCTGAAATTTTCCCTAAAGTACTATGAGTGGAATGTTTTGGTAAAATCAGGCCATGCTTGTGTAGATGCCAAGGTCATGCTGTGTCTGACGAATTTTTACCAGAATCTTGAGGTCCGAGTTTCTCTGTGTGAACGATTTGCTATTGAAATATTGGCACAGTTTTAGCTTGTGATTTCTTTTTTAGATTGAACTCTGGGTGCAGCGGGATTTTCAAAGTGTGGTTTTATTTCCGCATATTTCCGTACAGTTCAGCACAACTTAAATATTTTTCTAATAGAATACCTATTGTAGATTACCATGAAAATGTTTCAGTAATTGCTAAAATTACTGTAACATCTTTTTAAAATAGTTCATTGAGTCAATTGCGAATTGAGAATTTTCTCAATCAATGTGAGCAGATAGCTTCCAAATGAACTGTAATTGATTGAAAATAATCCCTGGATGGACCAAATTAATGGAAATAGCTCCACAGCCAGCCTTGAGTTAGAAGTAGTGAATTGACAGTTGTTGTCAGTGTAATGTTTTAAATATTGCTTCTGTTTTGCTATGTTTATTCATATGCTCTGCTTTGTTTTAATTTGACTTTATAGTAAGGCCTTTAGAAGGGCAGTAATTACAAAAATGCATTTTGTCTAGAATGACGGAGTGTCTATTTTGACTGAACTGTCATAGTATGAGCATTAACCTTTATTATTTTGAGAAATCTGTCTGCTTCCAGTACCTGGTGTAAATGAAGAGAGTAACATTTAAAATGTAGTCATTAAAAGCAATCGACCTTGAAATGCAGATTCTTTTAGATGCGTATGGTTAGAGATTTGTACAAAAACTAATCACAGGAAGTGATTTTATGCTACAGTACATTAAACGAGAGGAATTCATAACAGTGAGCTTTGAGTGTCTTTTAGAATATTGATTTGCTGCTTACAGATGATGAAGCCAGAATATTTCACTGTGAAAACTTGACGATAATGTTTCCATTGATTTGGTTGTCACCTGATTGTGATCCCTTTCCACTGCAGGCTATTCAAACTAATCAGCAGCAGACTTTTCCTTACTCCCAAAATGTACAACAATGCTGTTATATGTTACTACATTCAGGGTTGGGAACAGCACACTTCTACCATTGACTGCTTTCTCTGGCAGTCCATGCTAAGTTTCACTAACCGGGGAATCATGCTTTTCGCTTGAGTACAGTGAATAAATTTGTCCAAAGATTGATTTATTTTGCATTAGGTTTTTCCATGTGCATAAACCTCACTTCAGGTGACAGGGCAGTGAAGATCAGCTTGTAATACAAATGTCTGCATACAACAATATAGTCAAAAATGTAGCTACTCACCAGTTTATTATCCACCAAGCAAACAGCT